TGACTTCTCGTTTGCGCGGCTCCATCCCCCGGCGGAGGTTATGATGGTGCATTGTGCGGGCTGCGAGAGGCCGATTTTGGACCGGTTCCTCCTCAACGTCTTGGACAGGGCATGGCACATCAAATGCGTCCAGTGCTGCGAGTGCAAGTGCAACCTCACCGAGAAATGCTTCTCCAGGGAAGGCAAACTCTACTGCAAAAATGACTTTTTCAGGTGAGACCCCCCCCCCCCCACCCCACCTCCACCATCACTCACCAACCCAACCGATGGAGATGAGAAGGTGGCAGAGATTCACACCGTGCCCGCACCGCTCTCCACCGGAGCTTTTTTGGGGGGAGCTTGGGGGGGCTCCCCGCTTTCTCCCCCATCGCTCTCTCCCGGTGATCCCCACCGAAGGCCCTGAAGCTGAGAGGCTGTGCTGCTACATTTGTTAGTCAAATCTGCAGCTGTCATCCAGAATGGTTCTGAGCAAGTTAATCAAATGTCTTTAAATCATTGTAGAAATACTTTTACTTATGTTGCTATTTGTAAACTTCTTTAAAAGAATTGTTCAGTGTTTATCATTGAGAACAGCAAAGACTTTAGAAAAGTAGAAGAAAGGTTAGTGTCATCTTCAGCTAGGAGAGAGCTCCACAGAAAACTGCAGAAAATCCTTCTTTGACTTTTCATAAAGGAAGCCCAATTTTATAACTCTTTATTTTTTCTTGGCTAATCAATGTTTCCATACACACAGTGCTTCTTTTGGTTAAATGACTGATTTGTTTCATCTGGCTTATGTTGAGGATCTTTTTTTTTTTTTTAATTTTAATTTTTGGTTGTAAGGTTTTCTTTTCTTTTGTTTCGTTTTGTTTTGTTTTCGATTTGATTTGTTTTGGTTTGTTTTCGTGGGGAGACCGTTTCCAGTCAATATGGATTCCCCGAAAACAAAAAAAAATAAATTTTAAAAAGGCATCTCCTGGGGTAAAAAACAAAACAAAACAAAACAAAAAAAACCCCAAACAAAACAAAAAAAGAAAACAACAAAAAAGCGCTCTTCCTCCAGCGAAGGGAAGGAAAATCGGAGATTTCCAAAGCGCTGCTTTCAACCAGGAAAAATCCCCCACCCCCCCCGGGAGAGGTGCCAGCGCCGGGCTGGGGACCCCGGGATGTTTTGGGGAGCGCAGCCCCCTCCTCCACCACCCGGTTTTGTTCCCGGTGCTCCGTGTCCCCCCCCCGCACCCGCCGCTCCCTTGGTTTTGTTTTATTTTTTTCCCGTCGCCGTGGCCGCAATTTGCCCGTTTTCTCCCCGGGATTTTCAGGCCGGGCGGATCCGAGCCCCCGGTTGAAACGAAAATTCCACCCATCCCCCGCCCCCCTCCCCCCCCCACCTTTCCCCACTCCGGCCAAAATCCGGTGGGCCAAAATTTGGCCAAAATTTCTGGGGCCAAATCCGGTGGAAAACGCTCGTGTGTGTCTATTCCCCCCCGTGGGGGGGGGGAACGCGACCTTCCAGCCGCCGGGATGCTCCCCCTCCCTCAGGAAGGCCACCCTCCCTGCGCGGGGATGAAGGTTCTCCTCCTCCTTGCTTGCAAGAGATGCTGGAGGATGGAGCTCCCGCGGTGGGATTTTTTGGGAAAGGGTGGAAAATCGGTATAAACGGGCTCGCTCATCGCTCCCAGGGCTCCCAGCTCATTCCTTTCTCCCCCTTTTTTCCAGGAGGTTTGGTACCAAATGCGCCGGGTGCTCCCAGGGCATCTCCCCCAGCGACCTGGTCCGAAAAGCCCGGAATAAAGTCTTTCACCTGAACTGTTTCACCTGCATGGTCTGCAACAAGCAGCTCTCCACGGGCGAGGAGCTCTACATCATCGACGAGAACAAATTCGTTTGCAAAGAGGATTATTTGAACTCGCCCACCTTGAAGGAAAGCAGCCTCAACTCAGGTACGGGGGGGTCGGCCCGCTCCACACCC